CAGATCATATAGTACAAAATAAAGTCATACAGTATGATCACCAAAGAAAAAAATCTACATTTTTTACTTTTAAAACCCTCTCCCCCTGTGGTCGGCATGGTTGCTCAGACTTACATGCAGTTTTTGGCCAGACTCAAGAAAATAAAAAATAAAATAGATAACAAATTACATTGTCAGACTCATACTCCTAATCTAACCAGTCTTGAGTCTTCCTGTTGTCTTGAGTAGCTTGTGATCTTTCTAAAATACTAGTACTCACGGACAAAAGCTAACAACAAATGATATTCAATGAATAGTTGATCATGCGACATTGTTTGTCATCATCAAAATCTCAAACTCGGGGTCATGAGTCACAACAATTAGGTAATATTATAAATGAAGTTTGTATTTTTCATTTTATTGAGTCTGAGAGAGTGTGATTGTAATTGAGTAATTGTGAACACACACACTCTGTAGGAGTGTTTAAATTTATATATATATTTTTTATAAAAAAACTAATCATACTATATGAACTCATTTCATAAGAGATGATATGTTCAGTTATGTTCTACTTCGAGTTGACAAATGAACTACAGTAGATCATTTTTTTAAGTGCGGATCATACTGTACGAATCTTTTATCGAACGTACTTCGTCAAGACTACGAAAATGTGAGGTCCCTTTTTGTTCTTACGAACTCGTAGGTTTCTTAAACTATTCATATCATACGAAGTTGTTATCATACATACACCATCGAGAGTACAAATTTGAAATATCCCTTTTCATCCAGATAAACTTGAGAATTTTTATAATTGATCATACCATACGATGTCATCATCATTCATACGCCATCAAGAGTACATAAACATGGGTCTCTCTTCATAATGATGAAGATGAAAAATTTTCTGATTATTCAAATAGTACGAACTGAATTCTTACTAGAATATCATCATGTATGAAGTCATTCCATACAGATTTATAATAGGTTTGTACATAACAGTTTTTGAATAGTTTGTGTGTATGAAAATACGATAGTAGTGTAAGATCGTAAATGCTCAAAATTAAAAATTTTAGTTTACTAGAAGGGTTTTCATGTCTTTCATATAAAAAGTCCTTTAAAACTTATGTGAAAAGAGTCCTTTATGAATTTGCAAGAGATAGTGAAAGAGAGAGTGTGGAAAGTGTTTGAGTGAGATTTCTTATAAGTGGAGTATGAAGGGTTCCCAAGGTTAATCAAAGGTAAGGATCTCTTTATGTTTTTGGTGATCACTCTTCTTTTATTCTTTCTAGTTGCTCGTGAGTAGATCTTTGAAGAAGATCTAGTGCTGTACCAACACTTAGAGGGTGTGAAGAGATGACGGTACTCTGCTGACACTTGGAGTGTATGAACAGATGATAGTTTTGTACTGACACTTGGAGAGTGTGAAAGGACAATGATTCTCTGCCGCACCGAGGACTGGTGGAAGAGAGGAATTTTGAAGGCTTCTGTCCTAGCTCTGGGGGCAAAATGAAAGTCACTTTTTCTAATAGTGCAATCCTGAAGAGAGAGTCTATAGGGAGTGGATGTAAGTCGTGTTTGACCGAACCACTATAAATCTTTGTGTCTTTTATTTTTTGCATTTATTTTCTACAATTCTATTATTGTGGTTGAAAAGCTTTTTCAAAAAGTTAATCATTTTTGGAATTTAATTAAAATGGTATTCTACTAAAAATTTAAGAGAATTTTTTTAATTACCAATTCACGCCCCCTCTTGGTTTGCCTTGGGACAATAGCTTACATTTAAAATTATATAAGGAATCAACAGTTATGAGTTCTTTATGAGCCTTATAAAGGGGTAATGTGGATGAAGGAGGATATAATTATTAATTTTCATATATCTTGCTTAATCCAACTTCTTCATGCTAAGCCCAACTTTATTTCTACTCATCTTTTACCAAGCAAAAATATTAATGAAGTAAACAAAGATAGTACTATATTAAATTATTTTATTCAAGTTGGTAAAATAGAAGTAGGGAAGATTATTTAATCTTCTTTAAACTATATCATTAGGGCACTACTTCTTTGGGCTTGGGGCATCCTTCTCTATTTTATGCTTTGTATGTTAATGATGGTATAAGGGGAGATCATAAAAAAAATAGCTTTCTCCAATTTCATCTTACGCCAAAAGAAGAATTAAGTTCTTTAAAAGATTAGGTGCATAGGAGGAAGGACCCAGTGAGTCCAGGATGACTAGTTTACTCAATTGTAGCAGTAGTAGGAGTTGTAGGACTCCTAAATCATTAGTTGAGCAGATGGTTAAGTTGAGTGAGTAGATGGAGGGTGTGATTGAATTCTTTGAAGAGAGTAGGGAACAAAAATCTAATTACTCAGGTATCTAGGAATAACATTACCACTATACTTCTGAATTTAATGAGGCTTTTGTGGGTATGTTCAGGAGGAGCCCCTTTTTAAGGAATTAAAACTAGTCGAATTTCCCTACTACACAAGGATACCAATTATTTGTTTGTACCAGACCTGATGATGATAATGAGTTAGAAGAAGAGGAGGATCATGATTCAGATTGATGGGTCATTTTTATAATGTATGGATATTCCTGGAAAGTCTGAGAGAGATAAGAGAGAGTTGGATGTTGATACTTTTTTGTAGCCCTTTTTCTTTAATTTTTAATTAATTCTTTTTCTTGGGTGGATTCCTATGATTTTTTATTATGATACTATTGTTATAGTGATGTTATCTAATGGAACTATGATCCATTGTTATTTTCTAATGAGAACAAATAATGTGGATCCTAAAAGGAGATGAATAAGGAGAATTATACTCATGCACTAGTTACTTAGTGTTTATCTTTACTAGTTGTATTACAATGTCATTGAGCTTATTATCTTTCACTAAACATGCATTTTTTTATATTTAGTACTTAATATTTAGATTTGTTGTAATTCAATTTGTTATTACTATTTCATTTACATTTAGCTATATTTTACTTATGCTTAACTGTTGAAAATTGTCTTTTATATAGAGCTTGCACTTTGATTTCTTATTTAGAAAAAAATAGTTATAATAAATTATATGAAAGTTAGAAAATAATAAAACCCTAGAAAATAGTTTGAATGAATAATTTATATTAATTCATAATTTGAAAAGTATAATAATAAACTATTATATATCACTTAAGTATTTCACTTGCTTTGAATTTTGAAACAATACACTAATGCACTGACTACTGAGTTGAAGAACGAGTAATTGAGTTTAGAGAAAAGTCTTGGGCACCTTAAATTAGGAAGATCATAGTAAACTTCCTTTGCTAGGTTCCAAGTCCTATATGAGAAAAGTGGAGGGTTGCGTTAGGTAGTCGACAACCAACATAAAACTTATCAAATAATTATGACATGAATCCCTTAATACATTGTGTTAATGCTAGAGTTTTCTTTGGAACTAATGAGATGTGGGGGTGTAACATAGTAAGAAGTGTGCAAGTGATGTTGTATCAACACCCAGATGTAATATTAAAGAGGCAAGGGTTACCGCATCATGGTAGGATATGGGCAAAGAAGCTAGTCCAAGAAACTAAAATTAGGTTAGGATCGTGGAATGTAGGTTCTATCATATGTGAATTAATGGAATTATATAATATTATGATTCATATTAAGATCTATATTCTATGTATTCCAAAAAATAAATGGGTGGGAGAGAAGGCTAAGGAGATTGGTAGTTTAGGGTTTAAACTTTTGTATTCTAGTAGGAGTCTTACTAGAAATTATGTATGTGTGATTATCGATAAGAGTTTGAAAGATAATTTTGTAGAAAATGATAGAATTGGAGATAGAATTATAGTTTTGAAGATTATTGTTGATGAAAATATTAGGAGCAGATTTGGATATGTACTCAAAATTAAAATTTTGGAATGACTTAGAAGAATTAATATAAACGATACCTCTGAAGAGAGAGCTTTTATGGGGAGAGATTTAATTGGACATGTTGGTAGAGGTAGAAGATTTTAAAAGAATTCATGGGGTTTATTGGTTTGGAGTGACTCTATTAGATTTTTCTCACTTATGATTTTTTTATTGATAATATGTTATTTAAGAAAAAAGATGAGTATCTCATCAATTTTAAAAATGGGTTTAGTAAAATATAGATTAATTATTTCTTTTAAGAAAACATATCATTTATATTGCATATATTAAAAAGTTTTTATGAGTGAAAGTTAATGTACCCAACATCTCTTGTTAGTTTTAGATTTTAAGATGAAAGGGTATAATACAAAAAAGATAGTATATCATTGTTAAAGGATTAGATGGTGTCATTTAAGGAACTCTAACAAAAATAACTTTGAGAGTAAGATTCACAAACTTTAGATTTTGTCTGTGCATTAAGAAGCTAATGTTATGTGGGAAAACGTAGCTTTTAATATTAAGAATGCTGCAAGGGATGTGCTTGGAGTACTAAAAGGAAAAGCTTCTAATAGTAAAATAGTTGGTGTAGGAATCAAAATGTTTAAGAAAAATTAAAAAATAAAAAGCTCTATTATAAAAATTAGTTTAGATATAAAAATTCTAAAAATTGTGAAAGATATAATGTTGCCCGTAAGGAGTCTAAGAAAGCATTATGTGATGCAATGACTTTAGCTTTTAATTATTTATATAATAGATTATATAATAAGTAGCCAAGCAAAGTGATTGGAGTAGTATGGATTTAGTTTAAGTGAAGTGCATTACGGATGAAGATCAAAAAGTACTTTTCAGAAGAGGATATTCAACAAAGGTGAATGAGATATTTTTCAAAGTTTCCAATGAAGTTTATGAAAGTACAAATAACTTTAGTGACCATAACACTCTAAATGAAAATAGTTATTTTTATTTTTATCAGTGTATTCCTAAAACCTAAGTTAGAGCTGAACATTGCATTTGCATTCATAAAAAAAAACTACTACAAGCTAGTAAAGTAAAGGAAGGGCAAGAAAAAAACCCTCAAGCAAAAGAGGAAAAGCAACTATCTTCCTCAAGAATATCAAAAAATTCTTAAGGAATATTACAATTTACTCTATCTCCTATATCCCAAACAAAAGTATCCTCTAAGGCTCTCTGAGCACAAAAGTGGGCCGCCTTGTTGAACCTCCTATAAGTATGAACAAAGATCACCTGTTGGAACAACCTCAACCTGCTCCACTTCTCCCAATTTCCTGATTGCTGCTTCCATAACTCCTTGTGCTTAAATTTCTGCATATAATCAATTACACTTGCATTATCACCCTCTATAATGATCCCATTTAGCTCATACATCCAATCCATTAGGAGCTTATATTTGGCCATCATCTCAACATGCGTACTATCCCAATGACAGAGACTCCAACCAGCAGCAATTATCAGTTTACCATGGCTATCCCGAATAACTATTCCAATTCCCCTGCATTGGATCTTAGCAAAGCTCCATCTATGTTGACCTTTAACCAACCTGTAGGGGGGATGCCAACAAGGATGAGAAAACTACCCATTGGATTGAAGGGCGCCCCGTTGCTCGAAGCGGAAAGAGTGAAAACCTTGATTAAGAGCCTCAACTAAGCTAGCTGCTATAAAAACAGGAGTGCAAATATCCTTGCCATGCTTGGTTGCATTTCTATTTACCCAGCTTTGACAAACATCACGGCAGTATAACACCAAGCCAATATTCATTTCATTATGCTTACCCATCAATTCCAATAGCAGGTCATTACAACAAGCAAACCGAGGAGTATAAAACCCCCACCCATCCAGAACATGTAAAATGTTTAGCAACTGTTCACATTGTGTAGTAATGTGATTCAAGTCTTCCATCAAACCACACCCAATAGAACAATTAGTATTTACCTCAAAGCCTATATCAAATAGCCAACAGTTCGTTGGAACCGCATTTTTGAAAATTCTCCACAAAAAGATAGCTTCTCTCGGCCTCAGTCCATATTTAAAAATTGCATAGCAAGGGTCATCATCCATCTGAAATCTGCTGTTATAAGCGATGGCTGAGACAAAAGTTCCAAGAGGGATTTTAATAAGTTCTAAGGAATCAGAATCCAGATCATTCCATATCTTGATTTCACTGATCCTTTCAGGCAACGGTTCCCCAAAGCAAAATAAAAGCTTCAGCATATCCCAAAATCCTTCCAGATTTATAAAATCTGCTACAAAAAGATCCTCTATTACAGAAATATCACAAAAGGTGGGCCAAACTGATATGGTTCTATCCCAAATCCATACATGGTTAACCACATCAATGTTTAGGTCGTCACAGACCTTCCATCGAGTACAATTTACCAAATTTTCTACAACATCACATATAATCTTCCAAACCGAAGAGTCAGTACGTTTGAACTGAAAGTTCCAAGGAGACTTCCCATATTTCTGTTTCATACAGCTATGAAACAGACTTTGTGGTTTACTAACATAATTCAAAGCAATTCTGGCCCTCAACGGCCCAATCCAATCAGCACTTGAATGGAAACCAAGTCCACCTTTCCTCCTTGGTCTAGCAATACTTTTCCATGCCACATAATGCAAACTCCTATGATTGGAGTCAATATCCCAAAGAAAACTTTTGCAAACCTTCTCAACATCCTTTAAAACAGATTTAGGAACAAGAGAATGTGTCACTAAATAGACAGATGCAGGGAGCAACACAGAATTTATCAGCGTTATTCTGCCAGCAAAGGAAAGATGCCTGATCCCCCATGAACAAGTCTTGGCCCGAGCATTCTGTAACAAAGATCCAAAGTCCTTCTTTACCAGTCTCCTCAAAGAAATTTTAATCCCAAGGTATTCCATCTCTTCAACCTTCTTACATCCAGTCATCTTTGCAAGTCTGCATCTTGTAGAAGAAGAGGTCAATTTGATAAAAAGAATGGCAGACATATTCCTGTTGACCCTTTGGCCAGACCAAGAGCAGTAATTCTCCAGAATGTCAGTAACCTTCCTCACATTAGGAATAGTAGCACCTGCAAAAAGTAAAATATCGTCAGCATAAAAAAGGTGGGAGACAAGAGGTCCCCCAAGACAGATTGGCATTCCCAGCTCATTATGATTCTAATGAATGTGGGCAGATAAAAGCTCAGAACAAAGGATGAACAGATAGGGAGACAACGGGCATCCCTGACGAAAACCACAATCTGCAGTAATCTCCTCTATTAGCTGACCATTTACGATGATAGTAAACTTAGGATTTGACACACAACTAAGCACCCAGGAGCTGAACCTATCGATGAAACCCATACGACTAAGAACAAGTTCCAAGGTTCTCCAACTAATCTTATCATATGCTTGTTCCATATCCACCTTTAAAGCCAACAAACCCAAAGCAGATTTAGAAACTTTAAACCTGTTCATCAACTACTGAGCAAGCAAACAATGGTTTGAAATGGATCGGCCTGGTACAAAAGCTGCTTGTTCCTCAGAGATAAGCAATGGCAGCACCCCTTTTAATCTATTAACCAAAACTTTGGCAACAATCTTATAGATCATTTGACAGAGACTTATTGGCCGGAATTTGGAAGGATGGTCAGGATTTAAAACTTTAGGAATCAACACAATTACAGTTTCCTTCCAAACATGATTCATATTATTCTCAGCAAAAAATTCCAAGCAAGCACTCACCACTTGATCACCAACAATCTCCCAAAAGAACTTAAGGAAAGAGGCAGTAACCCCATCTCTGCCCAGAGCAATATTCCGGCCAAGAAAATTCACAACATCCCAAATTTCCTCTTTGGTGACCTCACCATCAAGAAAACCCCCAAATTGAGCCAAACAATCCCTATAAGAATCCAGGGACAGCCACCCATCTTCCACAATGCCAACACCATGCCATTTCTGCTTGAAAAAAATGTGGATGACCTCCAAAATTTCCCTTTGTTCAGTAACCACAGCTCCATTTTCCTGCTTCAATGAATCAATACCATTCAATCTTCTTCTAGCTGAAGCCATTGAATGGAAGAAGTGGGTGTTCCCATCCCCATCTTCAATCCATTTCACCTTGGCCCTTTATCTCCACCATGACATAATTCTAGCAAGAGTATTATTCAACAGAAGTACCTTTGCCCTCAAAGCTTCAACTTGAACCTCAGATAAACCATCAGGCAGACATTCTAATTCCTGCAGAATTTTTCTCTCCTTATCAAGGTCTTCCTTTAACTGGTTATGTACTCTGAATTTGTTCTTACTCCAAAAGAATAAAGCTTTTAATGTTCTATTACATTTCATCTGAAGTTTAAGAGCTTCACTGCCTCTATCCTCCACCTTCCACTTCTCCCACACCAATTGCCAGGCCCTTGGATAACTAGCCCAAACATCCTCAAATTTTATCCAATGAGAGAATGTCCTCCTCACTTCAGCATTAGCAATGCAGAGGATTGGACAGTGGTCAGAAGCAAGTTTAGAAAAGATGCTTAACCTTTAGCCCTTGGAAAGAATCCAAAATGGAAGAGCTAACCATAAATCTATCCAACCTTGAAAAAATTCTACTCCTTGCATCCTTGTTATTTGTCCAAGTAAAAGCTGGACCAGTGAACCCAGGATCAATCAAACCATTAGTCAACATGAATTCCCCCATGTCACTTGCAGCTGGGGAGAAATGAAAAGGCTTGCCCCCTTTTTTTTCCTCCTGGGACATTATACAATTAAAGTCCCCTCCCACCAACAAAGGGTATTCCAAAGAATGATGATTAGTAATGTCCTCCCAAAGTTTCTGCCTTACATACCTATCCTTGTCAGCATAAACCACTGCCACCTCCCAATTAATGCCCTTAATGGTTTTCAGCCTTCCAATAATACATTGATTGGCCTGAAAAATAACCTGGAAGGACACAATATTAATTTTCCACAAAAGCAAAATACCTCCTGCATTACCAACAGCTGGCTGAAAAGCAAACTCCCAATCTCTACCAACCAATTTTTCAATCTCCTTTCTAGAAATAGACACCATCTTTGTCTCCAAAAGCCCAATAAAATTGATGCCATTCTCCCCAATTAGGTGCCGTAAATAATTACCCATCTCCTTCTTACGAGCACCTCTAGAATTCCAATATAGAAAGCTAAACATTATCCACCAAAGGGGAAGCGTCCCCGCCGCAAAAAGTTTCAGAAAACAAACCTTGCCATTGATCCACAAAATCCACCTCTCTTAATTTTCCATCCACTGAATTATCAACCACATTCACACATTGCTCAATGACTGATGAGGCCAATCCCTCCTTCTTACTTCTCCTAACACCAGGCAACTTTTTTAAAGGACCACATTTACCCAATAACTTAGAATGTTGATCATTAAAAGCTCTGAATTGCTTATCTTTTGCCTTCTGGACACTTGACCTCTTACTCGAGAACATCAGCATTTTTGGAACTAAAAGCTGTGCAGGAGAAGACATCTGATCCCCACGTTTTCTCTTCTTCACCAAAACCATCCGTGAAGATGCCTTGGCAGGCATACCTCTATCAAAAACACTTCTATGTTAAGCCTTTTACCTTCCATAACCTGTAGCTGTGACAATTCACCCAGCTTTCCCTGAACATAATTCACTTCTCCAGAACATAATCTGCTATTTACTTAATTCTCAATGCCTTGCATCTTATCCGTGGCCTCCAGCTCCACCTTATGAACTCTCAATTCCAACTGAACATCCTCCTTAACAATAGAATTCTGAAATTAAATTTGTTCCATGCTACAAGAATTATCCTGAACCGACATTTCCATATTAACTTTCTGAAATTGTGGACGTTCCATATTAATTGATTCATTCTGTATCGAGCCATCCTCAATAACATTACGGTATTGAGTATAATCCATGCTATTTGATTCTTTTGTACCTTATCTTTCAACTTCTCTCCCAAATCTTGACCACCAGTCTCCTTCTGCACCTTATCAACAACTCTCCAGAAAGAATTAGAAGAAGGATTTATCTGCTTGCTGCTAACAGATTGAGGTCTCTGTCCAGATTTATTAACAGATCTCTTCCTCCTAGTGACAATTGTCCATTCCCCTTGATCAAACATCTACAGCTACAGAGTTTGAGACTCTCCCCTTACCATCACAAGTAGGGTCATGCTTCAATCCTGAACCAGCTGCCTCAGTACCTCCCAGTTTCTGTGAATCACCAATCTCTAAGCCTTGCTGCTTAGGTAGAACACAAGACTCCTTACACATCTCAGCTTTATGGCCAACCCTTCCACATCTTAAACAGATTTGAGGAATGCCTTCATATTCAATTGGTTGGAAGAACATACCTTCCAAACCATGAGCCCAAATACCCTTAGGTAATCTCTTAGATAAATCCAGTCTAATACAGATACGCGCAAACGCACATCTATTCCAAAGCTTAGTTTGCTCATCCATTAATAATGGTTCCCCAATGCCCCTCGCCAACCTAGCCAAATTAGCTTCATCCCAATATTCTAACGGTAGGTTTATAAGACTTACCCACACAGGAGACGTAAATCCTCTAAAAGATTTAGATGAAAGCCCTATTGACCACTACTCCACCCCAATGATCTGACCAGCAACATACCAAGGACCACCAATAAGAACATTATACCTTGCTTCCATATTTACAAACCAACAGAGAAAGCAGTCTGATCCCAATGGCAAAATCTGAGTCAAACCAAGATGACTCCACTTCCTTTGCAATTCATTTTGCACAACCCAAAAGGAAGATGCCTTCCTAAGAGGCTGCCAACCAGTGTTCTGATAAGCTTCTGAATATTACCCCTAGCCTTGCTCAAGTCCAATTTAACAGATCCATCTTCCCGCAAAAAAATTGTTTACCTCTTCATTCAAATTTAATTTGACAACAGGGGATTTCTTCCATGCATTCCTACCATTTCCCATATCAACAAATTCTTTCTTAACTGCCTTAACAACAGCCAGAGTTTGCCACGCTTGGATTGAAGGAAACTCTTCAGTTTGATAATTTCCACAAACACCTGAAGCGTATCGTACAGAATTAAGTTTGATATTGCATTCAAGACCATCAATATCACCCCTAATTGGCTGTACACCCTTCACCTCAGGTAACTTATCTAGAACACCGAAATTCAAACTACGATGGCCTCGTTCAGTATTCAAACAAGCATCACTATCAACTCGAGCCATACCCACCTTCCCAAGGTCTCCAATACGACTCATCCACCCAAACGTGAATGAAGGTTTATCATGTTCAAAGATAGGATTGTCCACTACCTTACTTACTTCAGTTGATTCTGCAGCAGCAAGCAAAATAACCTTTTCAATTTCTGTCTCTCCCGCCAACTGTGGATCAATAGACATATCACCTTGACTCATTTGGTCACTAGCAACCTATTTTCCATCAGTAGAATAATCATTCGCCACCTCCTGCATAATCTCTTCAATAATCAATATTTTGTTCTGTACCACATCCACCGCACAACCACTAGTCACAATAGAATCCACCTCCTCTAAATGATCCGCAGATCCCATACTAGCCACAACTTCTTTAAGGAAGTCCTCAGCCTCATATCCCCCAAGACATGCAAATAGCAACTATCTTAACACATTCCCCCCCCCGGTTGCATTCTTAACTCCATCTCTCTGACCAGATCCACCTCCAATCCTTTTCCCTCCTCGAGCCTCCTTATTTCCACCACTCCTCGTCAAAGGGTGACGAGGGGGTGACCTCGGGTCACCCACCACCATAACCTACGCAAAAGCACTGTCCAACCACAGCGACGAGATCTCCGATCCAAGAGAGAAGCCCCTCCAATCAGCGTCGCATGAATTTTTCCCTTCGGTTTTGCCCTAGAGTGCTGCAGAGAAAGAGAGAGAGTGAGTGAGTGAGTGAGAGAGAGATAGAGAGAGAGAGAGAGAGATAGAGAGAGAGAGAGAGAGAGAGAGAGAGAGGGAGAGAGAGAGAGTGAGAGAGAGAGAGTAAAACCTAAGTTAGAGAGGCATTAGGAAAATGAATTGTGGGAAAACTATTGGAGATGATGATATTGCAATAGAGGTGTGGAAATGCTTAGTAGATGAAGAAATTTCTTAGCTTACTAAACTTTTTAATATTATTTTGAAGACTAAACACATGTCAGATGTGTGGTGAATGACTGTATTAATTCCTATCTTTAAATTAAGGTGATGCACAAGATTGTCAAATTATAGAGGAATAAATTTGGTGTGTCATACTTTAAAACTATGGGAAAGAGTTATTGACCATAGGTAAGAACTTGATACTAATTTTTTTCATAAATCAAATTGGATTCATGCCGGGTATGTCTACTATGAAAGCCATACATTTATTAAGTTGTTTGATGGACACGTATAGAGAGATAACAAAAGATCCTCATATAATATTTATTTATTTAGAGAAAGCATATGATATATT